AGTCCTTGTGAAGCTTGATACTCTAAAATTATGGAAATATATACATTAAGCATTTTCTCCATCTAATGATTCCCTGGTGTTTGAAATTGTATTAAAATATACTATCTGAGTTTATGAGTTTCTATTCTTTTCTATACTATTAAGTGTGCAAGGCTATCTATTTGCCAGAAAACACCAGAATTATATCCTAGTACTATCCTGACATACACAAATGCCATATCCTCTCCCTGATACGAACACTATCATTTCTTCATTAGAATAGATTAGAATTTAGTTCCATCTGAATTTTAATATGAATGCATCAGTCCTGCAAGTCCCAAATATGTTAGGAGTACTTGTAGAAAATGAAACTACATTTTTCTGAATCCAACAAAATAATTTATTACCGTAAGAGGAGTTTGATAGTGGAACCAATTATGCAGGAGGTGATAAACTCTTCATGTTGGGGGGTAGTCAAGATAAGACTAAGTAGATATTTGTCACTTTAATTCTGATCCGTACACTGAGTTGAAAGTTGGACAATAGCCTAAATAGCATTTTCTAATTATTTCTTGATTCCATGAAAATGATGCGCAAAACTGATGCTTGCAACCAGAAAAAAGTAGAAATTTCAGGAAAGCAGGTTTTAGTAAAATTGAAACTTGCTGGCAATAAGAATTCATTAGAATAGAATAGAATAGAATAGAATAGAATAGAATAGAATAGAATAGAATAGAATAGAATATGAGCTGGAAGGAACTTTGGAGGTCTTCTAGTCCAGCCCCCTGCTCAAGCAGGAGAACCTATACCACCTCAGATAGGTGATTGTCTAGTCTCTTCTTAAAAAAAATCCAGTGATGGAGCGTCCATGATTTCTGGGGATAACTGTTCCACTGGTTGATTGTCCTCACTGTCAGGAAGTTTCTCCTTAATTCCAGGTTGCTTCTCTCTTTGATCAGTTTCTAACCATTGTTTCTCATCCTTCCCCCTGGTGCTCTGGTGAACAACCTGACCCCTTCTGCCTTGTGGCAGCCCCTCAGATACTGGAACACTGCTATCATGTCTCCCCTATTTCTTTTTTTCTTTAGACTAGCAAACCCAAGTCCTGCAGCTGTCCTTTGTATGTTTTAGCCTCCAGGCCTTTGATCATCTTAGTTGCTCTTCTCTGAATTATTTCCAAACTCTCAATATCTTTTTTGTGATACGGTGACCAAAATTGGCTGCAGTATTCCAAGTGTGGTCTCACTAGGGCTTTGTAAAGCTTGATCTTGATTCTATGCCTTTGTTTATACAATCCAGTATTGTATTAGCTTTTTTGGTTGCTGCTGTACACTGCTGGCTCATGGTCAAGTGATCGTCCACTAGGACTGCAAGGTCCCTCTCACAGTTAACCATGGAACTGGTCATCAACCCTTCTTACGAAGGCTTCTTCTTTACTAGAGGTTCTCCTCCCAAGCACTTACATGTCAGGAATTCCGTGTCTGGTAATTGCATTAAAAGACCTCCACAGTCACTTTCAATTTGGTACACATAGTCTTGATTTATGACTGTCGAAAGTTTCAACAACCTCTCCCAAAATGAGAACCTGGTTCTGAAGTTCCAATGGCCGTGCACCCATTGTGGCCATGTGTCCACATTTTGGGTGCTCAGCAACTATCCTGCATTTACAGCCATTTGTAGTGTCACATGTCTGTAATTTATGTTTTTGTGGAACACCTATGTTTTCTTCTCGTTTCCTGCAAAAAATATCTATAGCGAACGAGTTCACTTAATGACTGCAGCATTCACTTAGCAATCGCTTAACAACCAGTGCCTTTGCTTAACTGACACAAAAAATGTTGTAAAATCGGGTTGATTGTGTGATGCCCTCCATGACTTATTGAGCCTAATTGCCAGGCTCAGTTCCAGTCATAAGTCAAGGCTGCTTGTAATTGCATAATTCTAGATTCATAGACTTTGGAAAAAAATATGTGTTTTCTTATTACTCCTGTTACTACGGTATAATAACAAAGCCTTTCTTAGAATGAGGAAGCTAATCTTCTTATATTGTTTCACTGTTCACTTCCCATCAGCTGACATTAATAGAAAGGCCTTATTGTTTTCTAATAAGACTTAGAAAAACCAGCATTGCTTCTGCTCATGAAGTTTTATCCAGCTAATCATGTGTCAGGGTCCTGCCTGTCAGATGTTTGTCTACACCCAACAAATGCTCCATATATTCCACGCCTTTGACCTTTTCTGGTTAAATTATTGGCTTTCCTCCAATGGAAGATGATTAAACCAGTGATAGCTCCATCTTCCTCCTGGGTGAATACTTTCCACCTGTTTTCTTTAATTAAATCCAGGCCTATGACTGCTATCAGGTCTCATGAAAAATGTTCTTGAAACAATGACTAATTGATTTTGACCAGCAAGGTTGGTCTGCTGCCCTGAATTAGCTATGGGTCTCAGCTTTGATTTTGCTGCTTCACGAGTCCCTCCTTCTCTCTTTCTAGGCTGCCAAAGAACACCCTACTCCAATCGCCTCCACAGCAATTACCTTCTGTGAAGGCATATTACAGGCTACAAAACACAAAGCACAACAGTGTAAACACAAGTGATTCAGAATGTCGGGCTGAATTGTCACTGCTTGGTTTCTTTCCACTCCTGCTTGGCGTATGATTTAAGTGTTACAGTTGGAGGTCAGCACAGCCGTTCTGTCCGGCTAATCTGAGTGGTTTACGTCTTGCCCATTTCACAAGAAGGACTGTTAATGAGACGTTGACAGCTGCTGAAATGTAGGGAACCTTTGCACTAACAACAGAGAAAATGGGATCTTGTTTCAGTAGTTGCCCACGTCCACTCAGAGATGTCCACCTTTCAGTTACAATTAGTTGATGTGCTACAAGCTTAGCAAGATGGGTACAGCCACTCACATCACTTCATAGCAACCAGAAGATGCTCGCTGCCTTTTTGATGATTTTTGCACCTGCAGGTATAACCAGGGGATGAAAATGGGGTGGGCATCCAAGATGAAAAATAGTGCCAACAGCAATGATAGACATATCTGGTCTTCCCAACATGGAGGAGCTTCCCAGTGCTGTTGAGTTTAATATTATGAAATTATTCTGAAGGTATTTTGCAGTGGTAAAGTAAACTGCCCTTGAAACAATATGTACTAGCTTGACTCACATCTATTTTCATGAAAAAGAAACGTCCCTTAGAAAAATTCGATGTATTATTGTTGAAATTAAAGCTGCAGTTCCATCAGGTGTGCTGGGAACATGTATTCTCTGAGTCCTCCTTCAAGTTAATACGACACTTTGTCTAGGACAGTGTTTCTCAACCTTGATAATTTTAAGGCATGTGGACTTCAACTCCCAGAATTCCACAGCCAGCATTGCTGGCTGTGGAATTCTGGGAGTTGAAGTCCACATGCCTTAAAATTGTCAAGGTTGAGAAACTCTGGTCTAGGAGATGGAAGCTCCCTCTGCTGTCTCATGGAGAAAGTCAGTTAGGGAAAAAATTGGGGATAGGGAACTATCAGCAGCTGCAATGGGCATTTCAAGCAAGTATTTGATCTATTCTATAGCAACTTGCATCATATGATAACCACCCGTCTTTTGGATAATCTTGCTTAAGCAGTTGAAAAAAGTGAGACATTTTTAGGATGATAGCAAGGGACTTCATGTATCCTTGCCCTAAAAAAATCAAAGCCTTGTTCAAGCAAAAATAGGATGTGCCGTGCAAAATGGATAAAACTAATGTGTGGCACCAACCATCCCAGACTAAAAGATACATAGAAGAATTTGTAGTGATATAAAATTGAAATTATGGTGGCAGATGACCCTCAGGCTAAAGCAGGGCTCCCCAAACTGTGACCCATTGCCCACTACTGGTCCATGGCCTGTTTGCAAACAGCCCCACTCAAGTGGGAGTCACAGACCCTCGGGGCCCCACACACACATTTGCGTGAGCATTTGGGTCCTCACTTGTGTGAGCATCGCAAGTGCTTGGGACCTCACTTGTGGGAGCGTCACGAGCACTCTAAGCCCCACTCATGCAAGCAACTGGTGCTCGTGCATGTGCATGCCATGTGCACACACCTGCCCCCACACAAAATCATCCTCTCTTTTGCCCCTCCCCCCTCCGGGCCACCACGCCGGAAAGGTTAGTGAACTCTGGGATAAAGGATCCGGGTTAAGTTGAAGCTAATTCTTATTTTACTATGTTCTATTATGTAGTGCCGTTATGTGGAGTACATTAAAGATCCTATTGAGCTGATGATATATACATATAAACCTGAACAGATACAGTATACAGATAGAACATTATGGAGTGGAGAGCAAAACTAGATAATGATTACATGTAGTCCTCGACTTACAGCAGTTCATTTAGTGATTGTCTGAAGTTACAACAGCACTTGTGACTTATGACAGTTTATGTGATTTATGATTGTTTTTCACACTTACGACCATTGCAGCATCCCCATGGTGATGTGATCAAAAGTCAGAAGCTTGTCAACTAACTCATATTTATGACAATTGGAGCATCCTGGGGTCATGTGATCCTCTTTTGCAACCTTCTGACAAACAAAGTCAATAGGGAAGCCAGATTCACTTACAGTAACTTTGGTCATAGGTAACCTAGTAATCTAGTAACCGTGTTACTAGCTTAACAACTGCAGTGATTCACTTAACAATTGTGGCAAGGGAGAATATAAAAGAGGGCAAAACTCACTTAACAACTGTCTTGCTCAGTAACAGAAATTCTGGGCTCAGTTATGGTCATGACTCATAAGTCAAGGACTAACTGTAATAGAGAAGCAACTTGAGTTTTGCTTACATCATAGAATGGCATATGAGGTTATGCAAGCGGGACATTGAACAGGTCTCTCATGTTCCCTGCAGCTACTCAGTGTGAAAGGGAAGTTACTCAACATCCCCACCCATCTGCCTTGAACTGATTTCACTGACAGCATATTTCCATGTTCACATTATGCCATTCCCTCTCCTCCTCCAGCTTCAACAAAGACAATTGGTATACTCTTCCTCTAAGGAATTTTGCTTCCACAGCTCCAAGAGGTCACAGGTCACAAAGGAACCCATAGAAACAGGAAACGGAGCTTCCTCAGCCTACTTTCAAATACTCAAAACCTGTTTCCTTTCTCTATAGCAAACACAACCTCACAGTCCAGCATTTGGTTCAGATCCACTGTGAAAGCAACAGTGCAAAGTGAAAGAGTTTAGACGGGCGCGGCTGAAGCCAATATGAGAGACATACTAAGGTTCTTGCAAGCCAGGAGAATATGGGAGATGTTTTCACTACTGCTTTTATTAACCTTGGAATGCAGCAGTGCAGAAGCCAATTCAACAGACCCATCCTTGGTCATGATTTCGGATTCCAGCCCAGTGGAAGTAAGTCATCCTGGCTTGACTGTTCCTGAAAATCAGAGCTTTGGAGATGTGCAGGCACCATCATCAATACTGGATTCTTCTGAGAAACCCCCTTCTGTGCTGACTGTAAAACAGGATGAATGGGACATAAAACATAGCACTTTTATCACTCAAAGCTCAGCAACTCCAGTTACAACGCAGCAAGGAGAAAATATCACTCTTAAAACTCTTAGCAGAGAAAAGGACCGCGATGGTGATGTTACAAAATCCAAGGCATTGATCCTACCTAAGGATGGAGGGCATCCAGCACAGATCAATCCTCGAAAGGGCCCCCTTGAAAAGGAAACACCCAAAAAACCAGTTGTGAGCAGAACGTCCAGGCAATCGGGCTACAGCAGCAACAGCCAGCAGGCTAAAGATAACAGAAGCCCCAGCTTTGAAACGACCAGGGGAAAGTAAGCAGAAACATATTATCTCCATTTTTTTTCTTTCCTTGGGAAGACTGGCAGACTTTATAGAATCCTAGGTAAAGTTTCTTCTGTTCTTAAATAAGAGCAGAGCTCATGAGAAAGATGGGTAATTAACTGAAGCCAGCCAACTGAGTCATAGGTAAATAGGTACAACTGTGTAGAACTAGGTATTTCCAGCGATGATAGGGAAAGCAATTGTGGATAGTCTGGCCACAGATAGTTTTGGTTATTTAAATTACACTGATTCTTGAGAAGAATAAAGCAGTCTGCATGTAGGATTTCTAGCGTCATCTGCAATGCAAAATGTCCCGATCTTTTATTAAAATAAAAATAATCAATATAAAATATTTATTTTTAATGGTTTTAACAGCTGATTAGGAAGCCAGGGCTGTGGATAGTATATTACTGCTTTGGAATTAAAGGTGTGTGGATCTGGTGAGCAACTTCAGTAGGCATGTCCATGAAGCTATTGCCAGGGGTCTTCAAACTTGGCCCTTTTATGACTTGTGGACTTCAACTCCCAGAATTCCTCAGCTAGGCATGCCTGGCTGAGGAATTTTGGGAGTTGAAGTCCACAAGTCATAAAAGGGCCAGGTTTGAAGACCCCTGCTATTGCTGTGAAAAAAAATACCTCGTGGAGTTTTTGTGTCAATGAGTTGTTGCTTCAATTAAATGTTGGAAGTCTAGCCAGTCTTCCTGATCAGCTTCTTTGCTTCTGTTAATACGTTCCTAGGCTCTTTTGCCAAGACTTTGGAGGATAAATTGAAGGAATGATGGGCTGCTATTTTGGCTCCGGAGGTTATAAGTTTGTCTTTTTGTTGTTAATTGACCCTACACTGCAGTTTTTATACTGATTTTATTGCAGGAAAATTTGATGGATGCAATATTGTTCTCAGCCACCCAGAGTCAAGAGATGCCAAAAAACCCATATAAAAATGTAAAGTAAATTACTAAAAATAAACCAGTGAGGCAAAGCAGCATCATGGCTGTATTTTGCTTCATTTTGATGAGCTACATCAAGAAAGCAAAATGCTGTTAAAAAACCAATAAAATGTCTTAAAAAAAAGAAAGAAAGCAAAATGCTCCTTTGAAGATCCACACAGCACTACTAATTACATTGGCAAACAGAGAGAGAGACGAAGGGAGAGGGAGAGAGAAGGAATCCATCCATTGTTTGGGTTAAGCTATCATTTAAAATGCTGCAATTGAATTCCAGTATGGCAACTATGCAACCTGTTGTGGTCAGGAGTGAACCGTGATAACTTCTATATATTCTCTTCGGGAAACCTTCTGCACTTACCCTAAAAACATAAGAACAGATTGAATTGACTCAATAAATGTCCATGAACTGATACCAACTTTCTTCCAAGTGTATTGGTCCAGATCTTGATGGATGGGTCCGGATTGGGAAATGCTGCCCCCCCCAAATGTCCTTGACTTCTTTGAACTAGGAAAACTTTTAAATCTCCTAATGCCATGGAGAGAAGGATGGCTTATTCCTTCAGTCTAGTCCCTTCTCCGTTCCTGTATCCCACTTTCTTTGACGACTAGCTTTTCAGAGGTATCTTATCTGAAAAGTCTACGGAGGGAACAGAAATAAGGAATTGATGTATTCTACACTGCTTGCATGGATTCAGACATGGCATTGTTTTCTTTGACTAAAATCAATCCCGGTGGCTGTGGTGCTATATTTTTATAGGGAGATGGGTACAAGGCAGATATTGGTAGCTTCTATCTTTCTATCCAGCTTCTGTTTTTATCTTTCTTTCTTTCTATCTTAACTTAGCAGCCACCAGATGGTTTGCCTTAAATGGGTAGTCCTCAACCACAATTGAGACATTTGTTAAGTGAGTTTTGCCCCATTTTACGACCTTTTTGCCACAGTTGTTAAGTGAAGCACCGCAGTTCATAAGTTAGTAACTCAATTGTTAAGTGAATCTGGCTTTCCCATTGACTTTGATTGTCAGAAGGTTGCAAAAGGTGATCACATGATCTTGAGACACAGCAGTGGTCATAAATACGAATCAGTTGTCAGGCATCTGAATTTTGATCACATGATCATGGGGATGCTGTAAGGTTCGTAACTGAAAAACTGTCATAAGTCATATTTTTCAGTGCGACTATAACTTTGAACGGTCACTAAACAAATCGTTGTATGATGAGGACTATCTGTAATCCCCATTATTCTCACTCAATATTGGCATAGAAGTTAGGGAGGATAAGACTATGGTGTATTTGGAGGGAGCCAGGCTGCAGATGGAAACTTCAGTTTATTTATTTAAAAACCTTTTATATCTGCCTATTGAACAACATCAAAATAACAATATAAATTTTACACACACACACACACACACACACACACACAATTTTGCAGATCTCATGAACACTGAAAAGAATCTCTTGGAATGCTAATCTTGGAATCTCTGCCTGCTAACTCATTTCACTGCAATGTATAATCTGATTTATTTGATTTTTATCCCATCCTTTATAACTTTATAAGTAACTGAAGGTGGCGAACATACATAATACTCCTTCCTATTTTGTCCACAACAACAATACTGGAAGGTGGGTTTGACTAAAAAAAGAGTCACTGACCCAAAGTCACCCAGTTGGCTTTCATGCGTAAGGTGGGACTACAACACTAAACTAACATGAGAATATGCCTTTTTCTATAAGACCCTCCATCCTACCTCAGGTCTTCTGAGGAAGTTTATCTTTAGTTGTTACAGTTTATCTGGCAAGGGCTCATGGTGGGGCCTTCTCTGTTGGCTGTCCCAAATATTTGGAATGCCTCTTGTAGAAAAGCCCTCCAAACACTTTTAATGTCAGGTGCAAGGAACCAGAAACAACACAATGAGCTGATCAGAGGGATATTTCCTTACTATAGGCAGGAATCTTGCCAGACTAAAGTACACATTGCATGACTCCAAGGTAAACACTTCAGCCTATTCCTTCCCAAAGAGACTCAGGGCTACTCAGCTGTTTCACTCCTCTATTTCTCTAGTGGTGGGATTCCACCACGTTTGTACATTTTTGTTTGAATTGTTAATTTTTATAATTTTATGTGTGGTGCTTGTTTTCATTGCTATTAATTGCTATTTTGTTTTTAATGTCTTTATTTTTATTATTATAACTGTCAAGAGACTTTATTAGCTGGCAGCATACTGAGCATGGAAGCCAAAAAATAAACCATTGAATAAGTAATATTATATTCATAGGTTTGGAGGGTTTAAGGTATAGTATGCTGTTTCTTGCTGTTTGTAAAAAATATAAATATTTTTAACCTTCTAGATTTTTAATTTTTGGAATGCAATTTCTTGAATAGTACAGATAATGACTCTGGGCAGAATTAAGCTATTTGTTCAGATGGTATTCACATGGACAATCTGTACAACTTGTAAGAGCACTAAAAATTTTAGTTGTCTCATCCCCTTCCCCCTTGCTTTATCATTCCCATTCAGCCTGAAATAATAGCAATTGGCTACTGACTAGTATTATATTACAGCCATAAATTTAATCATAGGAACCAGACATCACTTGAATTTAGTTTACAACATGGTCTTTAAAATGATTATGAGCTAGGGACCAAAGAATATAACACTGGAATTGGAAACCTCAGAATAATACTGTACCATTAGTTCAGGGTTTCCTTCCTTCCTTCCTTCCTTCCTTCCTTCCTTCCTTCCTTCCTTCCTTCCTTCCTTCCTTCCTTCCTTCCTTCCTTCCTTCCTTCCTTCCTTCCTTCCTTCCTTCCCTCTCCCTCACTTCTTCCTCTGCCCTTCCCTTCCTTCCTTCCCTCTCTCCCTCTCCCTCTTTCCTTCCTCTGCCCTTCCCTCTCTCCCTTTTCCTCTCTCTCTCTCTCTTGCTCCTTCCTCTGCCCTTCCCTTCCCTCCCTCCCTCTCTCTGTTTTCCTCCCTTCTCTGCCCCTCCCTCCCTCCTCTTTTAAAGGACCACCTTAGAAAGAAGGCAGTTATATAACCTGCAACTATTATCCATGAGCTATAAATATAAACATGTTAATTGCTAACAACATACACAGGAGTTTATAAAAAAATCCAAAGAACTAAATCTCAGTACAGGTTTTCCCAGCATCCCTCATGCTGTGAAGATGATGGGGTATCAGTTTACAGCAATACAGTGGATTTGTTGGAAGAGTGTGGGAAACAGCATCAAAGAATGTAATGCTTTCCTCTTACACAGAATTTCTTTTCCTGTCAAGATGAATTTATTATAATATTTTTTCCCACTGTGGTATGCAAATATTTGTCCTCTCCATTGGAAGCTTTGACCAAAATCTCCCTATTCTGAAAAACTGCTGTTCTATGTAGAAATGCAGCCTTAATTTTTTCTTTCTCTTCTGCTCTTTCTCTTATTAGGGAAGCTTTCTGAATTCTCACAATTTTTACTTATGGCATCAGCAATGAGTCTTGAGAAAACACTCATGTGTGAAGCATTCTTTTTCTATACACAATTCAGTTGTAAGGTAAAAAAGATGGTTTTCGAGGTATGCTCGAATCCACTTGTCCATGTGCTGCATAAAACACACCTGCCACATCCAATCGATTTGCTTAAAGAACACCTCAGAGGTAGACGTTTAATGCACAGAAGGACATTTTAACAAAACCAGACAGCCAAGTAAGACATTTAGAAAACTACTTTCTGTATTTGCTGTAAAGCAGCCTTTGAACAATGAAAGCTTTATAAATAGCAGTTTTCAGATCAAAGAGCTGAAGTTCTGCAAACTTGTTTCACTATGAGTTGAAAGTGACAGACTTGATGGTAAAATAAGCTTTTTAGATTGCTATCAGTCTCAATGGGAGAGTAGAAGTCCATATAATAATAATAATAATAATAATAACAACAACAACAACAACAACAACTGGAGCACCACTTGAACACCATTGGCATTGACAAATTCGCTATTAGTCAATTGCAAAAGGCGGCCTTACTAGGAACTGCTTCCATCCTGCGACGATATCTGTAAT